TAAATAAATATATATATATATATATATATATATATATATATATAGAGTAGTTCCAATATTAATTAGGCCTACTAAAAGATGAAATAAATTTTTTTAGCAGCAATGATCAATTATTTTTGCAAGAGATATATATTTTTTCATTTTTATAATGATATATACTGTATATCATAAATATATTATCATATCATATCAAAGCGTCTGCTGAATGTCTAATGTAAATGTAATATATATTATTATATAATAATATCGATATTTTTATGTGGAGCAGATCGAACGTTGCGGTCCTGTGATCGCTTCACCATGCATTGCCCAAACAGATCTAGCAACCACCCTTAGCAACAGAAACGTTTTTATTTTTCATACTGTTTATTTTTAATATCCTTATTCCTGTTGCTTATGTATTGGTAGGCTATACTGTCAAAACTTAATTAGGACAGTCTTCTCATGCGTTGTGTGTTTGTGTGGAAGCTCACAGTTGCCGAAATTCAGAGGGAATATTAAATATTATTATAAGTTTCAGGTAACGTTATAGTACTGTAACGTTACACATTATTCGGTGAATCGGTCTGGTTTAAACTAAAAGAAGGGAAAAACCCGTTTTGTCATCCTGAAAAATAAACATATGTGTGTGAGGTAGGTAGCAATATCATACTATAATACTAACGTTACAGTTTAAAAATAAAAAACTAATTTTTGTTTAATTTCAAGGACTTTCTAGCTGAAGGTGGCTGAAGCATAGCATTTACCGATTTCACTTAAAGTACCATAATAATACATATTTTTACCATTAATATGTATCTTAAGTGGCAATCATTTTATAAAAGTCAGGTAGGCTACTCGAGGGCGGCGTGCTTCACTATGAATACAGTCACGGCTGCATTCAGGACAGCACGTCCTCTCACACCCCACTAATAACCTAACGTTAGCTGTGATTGAATGGGAGAACCGAATCACTCTGATTCGTTAACGAATCATTCAGATTTAAGATTCGACTCGGTCCATGAATCGGACATAATCTCCTTTTTAGCGCACGTTTGAGATCGAGGGCAGGAAGATTTAACCTCTTTTCCTCACAGAAAGTTATCTAATGTCTTTAGAAAATGTATATAAGCAATGTAGCGCACGAGTCGTGTAGACCACGACTTTATAATATTTTTATGGCGTTATTGTGTCCATTCAATGTCCAAAAGAGGGATAACTTTTATAATTTTTGTCCCACAGAAGCAAGCAAGCCATACGGAACAACATGGGTGAGTAAATGACAGAATTTGTATTCCTCGTTTTATAAATGCGCAGAAATAGGGTCCTCAGCAATGACATAACACCTATTCATTGGGTCCCGCAGTTTTTGAGAGAGAGACAGGACTGCACACGCACTGCACTGCCCTCTCTCAACTCAACTCACACACAAACACACACACACACTCACAGTGCACTGTCCTCTCTGAACAGCACAGAGGCAGAGACCGAGAGAGAAGGTGCCCTCCGAGCTGCGTATCTTCCTATTACTGTGCATCACACGCACAGAGAAACGGAAACTACTTTCTGTGTACTGGGTCTCTCCAAATGTCCGTGACTAACCCCACAGCAAGCGCTCCGTGGACGTTTTGACCGGCTGTAACAGTGTTGAGTGTGCGGCACAGGTAAAGATGGCGAGGGGACCGGTGCTGGTGTTTCTGTCGCTGCTGCTCACGGAAGCTTTAACGGCGCAGGGGTTGCCCATCAACGGCGTGAACGGATTCAGTCTGCACCCACCGTATTTTAATCTAGCGGAGGGGACTAAAATCACGGCCACGGCAACCTGCGGAGTGGACGAGAGCCAGCAGCCGATTCAAGACCTCTACTGCAAACTGGTCGGGGGGCCCGTGTCAGGGGACCCAAGCCAGACTATTCAGGTAAAGATGTGGGAAATACTTACTTTTCTAAGGGTTACATTACTAAAAATGGATAAAAGCACATTTTGATGTTAGTTTGTTTTAGTTCTAGCTAATATTGGACTCTATTTGACTTTGTGAAATGCACTTTTTATCGTTTTTACAGCTAAAATAAGTGTAATTTTAACTGTAAAATTTGGTAAAAACGCTACGGAAAAAACTGTTAATAAGTTAACAGTCAGTTCCCGTACTATATACAGGGAAAAACTGTAAAATATCTAACCAGACATTTAATGTAATTTTACAGTAAAATGCTGTTAATTTGACAGTTTTTAGAAGTAAAAATAACAAATAAATTTGCATATATTGGCCGTATATGTGTTTACAGTTTTTCTGTATTTTTTACAAAATTATTCTGGCAACCACAGCTGCCAAAATTATTTTGTAAAAACTACAGAATTTTTTTTACAGTGTACATAACAGATGCTACCATAGTGCTGAATTACCATATGTGACCCTGGAGCACAAAACCAGTCTTATGTAGCACGGGTATTTTTGTGGCAATAGCCAGCAATACATTGTATGGGTCAAAATTATCGATTTTTCTTTTATGCCAAAAATCATTAGGATATTAAGTAAAGATGATGTTCCATTAAGATATTTTGTAAATATCCTACTGTAAATATATAAAAACTAAATTTTTGATTAGTAATATGCATTGCTAACAACTTCATGGCGATTTAAAGGCGATTTTCTCAATATTTAGATTTTTTTCCACCCTCAGATTCCAGATTTTCAAATAGTTGTATCTCGGCCAAATATTGTCCTATCCTAACAAATCATACATCAGTGGAAAGCTTTCAGTTCAGCTATAAATCTCAGTATAAATCTCAATTTAAAAAAAAAATGGTTTTGTGGTCCAGGGTCACATATTAGTTTACTTGGTATTCCAACTGTCACAAATACACATCCAAAAGATTTATTACCTTTTTTTTATCATATATATTGGACTTATTAGTACCCTGTCCAAAAACATGGTAATATTTATTTTTTTATACTTTTTTTTTGTTCGTAAAGTCAATATAAATCTCAGTATAAATCTCAATTTAAAAAAAAAATGGTTTTGTGGTCCAGGGTCACATATTAGTTTACTTGGTATTCCAACTATCACAAATACACATCCAAAAGATTTATTACCTTTTTTTTATCATATATATTGGACTTATTAGTACCCTGTCCAAAAACATGGTAATATTTATTTTTTTATACTTTTTTTTTGTTCGTAAAGTCAGGACAGTGCTTTGGGGCTGAGGAACGGTGCAATATCTTGATCTTTTTTTGAAAGCACCTGCTTAAGGTGAAAAGGCCAGAGACCCCTATAAAGCGCTATGGTTCCTCATAAGAGACCCTCACTGAAGCTTCATAAGCAGCAGGCTTAGGAGACTCGACTTAGCTTGTTGGCGAGTGAGTGAAATGTTTAAACATTGTAAAGAGTAAAACGCAACCCCCGTGTAGCACTGCTACTGGGATTTTCCCTGAGGAATGTGTGGCATTTCATATAAGACCTTGAGGGAGCCACACACGCACACAGATTTGCACCATACTTCAAAGAACATGTTAATAAAATGTTGCGACCTGATCAATTGTTGCAGGCACCTCCTGTGGTTTATCTTCTCAAGACACAACATCAACATGCCTGCAGTCCATTTTTACTGCGCTTTAACTAAGTCACAATCATTTTATACTCATCAGTATCCAAATTTTGCTTATCCATAGTTATACTATAACCATAGTTTCTGTTATTATTTTATGCAGTAAAAAACAGTGATGTGCACTTGTTTAGGGTGTTATTTCTACCATTTTAAAGAAAAATGCTAAATGTAGACAGAATGATTCAGTTATTTTAAATATTAATTTAGATGTGTATGATGTACTACAGTAAAACTAGTGAAAACAAAGATTTTTGAAGATCATTTGAAGGAGATCCTGTATTAATTTATGATTATTTTACAGTAATAGCAGCAACTATAGTAACCATGGTAATGTTGCTGTAAGTAAAGGCTAAATTAATTGCTAGTCAAAGGAAGTCTTATCTCATCAATCTCTGAAGCCTTCACACATGGGTGGTCTTAACACAATTTGGTGAATTTCTGATTGATTTCACTCCTGTTAGTTCATTTATACTGTTATAAATGAATCTATTTTCCTAGCCAAGTATAAATAGCTATAAATAATAATAAAAATGGGTTTGGGTTGCCAGAAGTTGGATAATGAAGGGAGTGAATTCCTTGGTTTCTTCTGATGTTTCACTAAAATGTCCTGCAGAGTAAACCCTACAAATCCAGCTAAGCAACAAGTGTATAAAACTATTTGCTGATCACCGTTCCAGAGGATTACTGCATGGTATTTATGTAGCAAAATGAAGTTTGATCTTTTTCAGTCACAGTTTCTACAACTCAGCTTATCATAGATTGTCCTACAGTCTGTATTATCAGAAATAAACAGATAAAAGGTGTAGGAAATAAAGGGGGGATTTGCAAAGAAGGAATTGCATCTGTAAATAGTCATTTATTTCCACATGCTTTCTGCAGTCACTAAAAGAATTATGCAAATCAAGTAGTGGTGCAAAAATTTGAATTTCAGTTTCTAACTTCACAGATTACTTTGTACAGGTATCGGCTCTTTAAAATGCTTTAAGTGTTCAGTTATAACTCTTTACTTTTATTATTCTATCATAATTTGATGAATTATTGTAGTCATGATTGATAGAAATGTCCACAAATCTTAGCTGTGCAATTTATTATGAAAGGAACTTAATTTACAGTTTAATTTCACTTCCTGTGTTATCAGGGCCAGTACTGTGACATCTGCACCTCAGAAGACACTAACAAAGCGCATCCCATCAACAATGCCATCGATGGCACCGAGCGATGGTGGCAAAGCCCTCCTCTCTCCCGCAGTGCAAAATACAACGAGGTCAACGTCACTCTGGACTTAGGACAGGTATGTTACTGATGCATTCCTTACATTTGTCAACTCTCTATCACAACCCCACCCACATGCACATATCGTGTTCAGATTATTCAGCGTACAGTAGAGTCATCTGATACTCGGCTACAGCAGGCGCTTTTGTGGATTGCACATGAGTGTAGAATTTCAAGGGTGGACCCTAAGTTGAATCTCATCCATTCATACTCGAGTCTGGAGTATCTAGAGGTGTTTTTTTTTTTTTTGCTCTGCACACTTCACGTCTTGGTCTTATTGGTGTATTAAAGGTTGTTGTTTGTGAATAGCAGAACAGCCAGGGGCCATTTAAGATTATTACTTTCTAAACTGTCATGGTAAATAAACATTACTCATGCTCTCCCCCAGCATTCCCAGTGGCTTCTACATAAAGAGTCAGCACTGCTGCATATAGCTTATATGCTGCCCAAATGAGAAAGAGAGGAAGGGAAGCAATTTACTGCAAACTAAAGTTTCTCTATTGAGTTCCATGGTCTTTAGACACAGTCTAGCCTCATGTCTCAAGAAGTGGTTTGGCTGGATTTAATGGGAAGTAATTAGCGATCAAGCTACAAGGCATTACTATGAGAAGCTTGGATCACATCTTATTTTATGACTATATTCCAAATGACTGTATTTTTGTTAAGAGATGTATTACCTTGACTCACAAAGAATCTGCACACAAGTTATAAGAATTCCCTATTCAATATTAATTTATTACATATTATTACAGCTGCATTTAATCCATGTTTGAATCCATTTTACAAAATTTCCATGAAACTCGATGTAGAAATGGGGGAAACTTCTGCACATAGTTGACAATACTGTATTACTGTTATTACTGTATTTTTGATAAAATGATGCAGCTTTGGAGAGCATAAGAGAAAAATGTACAAATCTCCAAACTTACACAATGGTAGTGTGTTAACGTTTTCTGCTCACATAATAAAACATTTACTCAAAATTGAATTACTATTACATGTACATTTATTTAATTTGTGTTGTGGTTCTGCTCAAGAAACATTTGCTTATAAAACTTATTGTTATCAATGTTGAAAACAGTTGTGCTGCTTCATTTTTTTCCCAGGATTCTTTGATGAATAGAAAGTTAAATATACCAATCTGAAATAGCAATCTTTTGTAGCATTATAAATGCATTTACTATCACTTTTATTTTCATTCAATTAAATGCATCCTTGCTGAATAAAAATATACATTTATTTCATTAAAAAAAATCTTACTGACTCTAAACATTTGATCGGGTGAGTATCTGTTATATATTTAGTCTTGTCGCTCAGAGCAGTATTGCTGTATGTATAACCTGGCTATGTAGTTTTGGTCTCATTCACATGGCTGTAATATATGACTAAGCCCTGTACAACCTACTTTCTTTTCTCTCTCCCTCCCCCCCTCTCTCTCTCTGAATGGAGGCAGAGAGCAGTGACTGGCTTTGTACTTCTTTGGCTTTGAGCTCTTTTATGTGGCTGGTGTTTTTTCAGTGCCACTTAAACCAGCTTGTTAAAAAGCAATACATGAGCTTTCATACATGCATCACTGAGCAGAGAGAGTGAGAGAGATGTGCTACATATGTGACCCTGGACCACAAAACCAGTCTTAAGTCGCTTGGGTATATTTTTGGCAATAGCCAAAAAAACATTGTATTGGTCAAAATTATAGATTTTTCTTTTATGCCAAAAATCATTAGGATATTAAGTAAAGATCATGCTCCGTGAAGATATTTTGTAAATTTCCTACGGTAAATATATCAAAACTTAATTTTTGATTAGTAATATGCATTGCTAAGAACTTCATTTGGACAACTTTAAAGGCGATTTTCTCAATATTTTGATTTTTTTGCACCCTCAGATTCCAGAATTTCAAATAGTTGTACCTCAGCCAAATATTGTCCTATCCTAACAAACCATACATCAATGGAAAGCTTATTTATTCGTTTTTCGAATGAATATTCGATATGACTGGTTTTGTGGTCCAGGGTCACATATATTAATGCCATCAAATCTTCATCTGTAGAAAATCTGAGTTGCACAGTTGTTTTAGGTGGCTGACAAGGCATTGCTATGTGATCTGAGTGGTTTTTAGCATGTTGCTATGTAGTTACTAATGAACGAATAATGGTTAATAGATGGTTGCTCGGCCCAAGTAGATTTTTCACCCATTATAGTGTGTCTTAAGTTTAAAACAGATGTTAGATATCTTAGAAGAGTATCATTCCACATGGTTTGAAATATCATTCTTGTCAATTCCACAAGCAGAGCAGGATTAGTTAAGCACCAAAAGTTGAATACTGTATAGTTAGGGGTTTGTTCAGAGCTTTAACTGAAGTATGAGGAGCAGTAATAGTGATGCTGCTTTAGAGGCCTCCTCTAACACAGGTATGAGGCTTTTTCTGATCCCTCACTGGAATGTTAGTTACTTAATATCTGTCTCAACCTGTTCAGGGAGAAAACGACCCTCCCCATCACAGCCAAAGTTCATGTCTCGCTTCTCATGCTCGCTGTCTGTTAAATGACCCCACACACTTTTTGCACATTTTTTCTGCAATATGCAATGGAGTATTAAACAGTGTTTATTAGGGCTGCAACAACTAATCGACAAAATCGATAATTATCGATTATGAAAATCATCGACAACGATTCTCATTATCGATTATTCGGGTCTACCCACAGTGCACGTCCACCTTCAGCCGGTTGCGTCAAATTACAGCACTGAATTACGCATTTCTATGGACAAAATGCATCTAAAAATAGTGGAGGAAACAGAATGAGATGCTGCGGGAGAGTTACATGATCCAAGCTGCCCAAAACATGAGAATTCTTTATTTTAAGCTTTAAGCTGAAGCATCAGCGTGATGGCTTGCACTGTCAGGCGCTTTGACAGATGATGCGTGTGCGTCCTCAGCGCAAAAACTTTCAGTTTACGGTCATATCCTTATGTATAAATGTCACAAATTCACGCGAGCATTTCAATTTTTGCATAAAGGTCCACGCGTGTTGTCACGGTGCGTGCGGGGAGATGAAGCCAGGACTCAATTGCAGGAGAAATGGTTATTTATTTTGATAATAAAAATGAAACAAAAACAAACTCAAAACACCCCGAAGGGGAAAAACAGACAGGCAGGCCTAAAGCTGCACACATGCAGACACGAAGCGCACACAATGAGAAATGACGGATCAGCACAGGATGACAGACACCAGGAGAATAAATAGGAACCAAACAAGGAGGCTAA